ATGTAGTCTGAATCCCCAAGTTCATTTAATGTTCGAGCTTCCCCTCCACTCCTCCCCTCACCCTGGCTCCTGCCTGTAGGAAGGAGGCCGCAACAGGAAATGGGCAGGTAGCACTGTTTTCCTATTCCTCCATCTTGTGCTTCCATACCTTCTCCAACTTGCTAACAGAGGCTTCTGGCTGTCCTAGTGGGGGCAGGGAAGGGGCACAGCCCAGAGACCGCCTAAGGGGCGGGAGAGGTTCTCCGTGACAAGTACTGCAGTACTTGGGGACTTCAAGAGCCTCCTTGCCCTGCGGATCCTTTATCTAAGGTCCCCTTGACCGTGGTTTGCCCCAGAGAATGGGATGGCATACAGCAACCCTCCTCCCTCCCCCCACCATCCCCTTTAAAGGTCTTTATTACATTGTCAGGAAATTGTATTTCCCAGACAGTCCTATGAACAGTGTTCCAGGTTGGGTTTGCCAAATATGAGATAACTGGGTGAGACTAGAGAGCAGAAGGAAGGTAAAAATCATTCTTTTCTTCCTTTGACTCTGACACTTAGGCCAGCAAGATGCTCCAAGCTCCAAGCTCTTGTAGTAATTTGGGCAAAGCGTTCTACAGTGAAAAAATCAGGAAAAACATAACTGGCAAATGGCTGTGCACTTTCCAGTCCCTCGTCCACTACAGGATAAGCAAATGGGCAGCAGTGGCCGACATACGGTGTCTGAGGTTTGCCCCATCACTGATGGCACCTGCACAGCCAAGCACAGGCCCCTGGAGTGCCCTCGTTCCTAGAACACATAAGCAAAGTGCTTTGAATTATCACCCCATTTTTGACCCCTCCCTGCAACTATGTCGAAGGCCGTGTAGTTTACAGTTCCTCTCATAAAAAGGCATAGTTTGCCTCCCTGTCCTTTGATTTTGAACTTTTGAACACACCTCTGCCAATGAGATACTGAGTAATAACACAAGCAGAAGGTAGAGATTCATTTGCCCTTCTGCTTCTCTAGGAAGCGAATCGTCTCCTGGGTAGCTGTTGGCCCTCCGGCTTTTGCTCAGAATGAACAAACATAGAGCAAGCCTGGGTGAGGACCTGGACCCAGCCAGACCTATTGTTTGAAAGTGAGTTGCCTAATCTAGATTGGCCTACACTCAGCTGGCCATAGATGGATGAGAAATAATTGCTCATTTTAGTGTGACACTGAGATGTGATTGTCTGTTATGTGCCATTACTGCAAAAATGGGACACGCGCAATGTTTCTCCTTTCCGTTTCACCAGCCTTCCCAGGAACTGTGTAATCAAATTCCCTGTACGAACCATTGAGATGTTGTGATTGTTTGTTATATGCCATTACTGCAAAAACAGCTAACTGATGCAAACAACTTTTCTCCTTTTAGCTTCGCCAGCCTTCCCATGAATTATGTAATGAAATTCCCTGTATGGAATCAGTCTTTGCTGAGCCTCCCTTTTCTGGGAATTCTGAGAAAAAAAAATTACTTTTCTGCTTGGGGTAGACCAATGCTCATGCCAAGAACCCCTAGAAAAGCTCAATAAAATACAGAAAACCTCTTTTTAAGTTACCAGAGAGCTGCTAAGTTGACAAGCATTTGATGGGCCATGATCTCAAAAGAAGGAAAACATGAGGAGGTGAGCTGACGTTCTGTGAGCCACTTTTTCCTTCAGGAAGTGTGCTGATTCCTGTTAAGAGGCTGGGCATTTGGCCAATGAGCTGTGGCTATGAGATAGAAAAGGCAGCTGAGTGTCTGGAGCTGGAGAGACAAGAAATTGGAGATTGGGATTGCCAACGCAGCAGGGACAGAAGGGGCTGAGATGTTGAGTAGAAAGGAGGTAGAAAAGTAATTCTGACACTTTCCCCTTTGAGGCATTTGCTGAATTATTGAAGCTGTGAATTAATCTATGCAGAAAGCCTATGAAAGATGACAGGTCTTTTATTTTTTTCCCCTTCTCTCTTTCTTTCTTTCTTTCTCTCTTCTTTCTTTCTTTCTCTTTCTCCTTCCTTCCTTCCTTCTTCCCTCCCTCCCCCCATTTCCTTCCTTCCTTCCTTGCTTCCTTCCTACTTCCCTCCCTCCCTTCCTTCCTTCCATTCCTGACAATAGTATGATACTAAGGAGATAAAACTTGGGAGTTCAGGACCCACCAAGGAAGAGGAGCCCAGTAAACACACCAGAGTCTTCTTTAGTATTCAAATGGTATCCTTGGAAGACTATACTCTAGAAATGTGGGAAAACCAGAGGTGGTGATAGAGCCCTACAAAAACTGCAACCCAGACTCCAGTGATTTCATTACCAGACTGGATTAAGGTGCTCTCTCCCCATTCTGTTGACCAGAGGATATAGTAAACCTCTCTGGAGGAATTCTGTTTCCTGGAGCTACTATAATTTATCATCATGGTCAGCATTTGACAATATATTGTCAGGCATGCCAAGTAACAGAAATAAAGGGGGGAACATACACAATAAAACTGATCCACCAATGACACAGATATTGGTGTGATTGACAAAATAGAAACTTTCATCAAAGAACTGGAATAATTTACAAAGTATCAAATGGAAATTTAGAACTGAAAAATGCAGTAATTGAAATTAAGTACTCAGCATATAGGTTAACTACAATTAGACCTAGTGGAACAAAATTTATTGAAGTGTAGGAGGGTAGTATAAAAACTCTAAGCTGAGACAGAGACATAAAGAGAATGGAAAATGCAGCTGAGTGCATAGGAGTCCTGTGGGAACTGGCAGAAAGGTCTAATATGTGTGCAATTGGAGTCTCAGAAGAAGAGGAGGCGGAGAATGGGGCAGAAATTATATTTGAAGAAATATGGCTGAGACTTTTCCAAAACTGATGAAGCTTCATTACTCCCAAGGTTTATAAATAAAAAGAAAATTGCGTGTAGGCACACCAGTCTCAAGCTGCTGAAAACCAGCAACAAGGAGAAAATATTAAAAGCTGCCAAGGGTGGGAGGAGAGGGAGATACATTAGTTTCAAAGGAGAAACAATAGCACTGCTAACTCGCTTGTCAACAGAAATGATGGAAGTGAGAAGACAATGAATACCATTTTTAAACTGCTGACAGAAAAGAAAATGTCAGCCTAGAATTCTACTTCCACACACACAAAAATCCTTTAAAAATGAATTTGAAATAGAACATTTCTATTCAAAACTAAGAAAATTTGCTGTGAGCCCATCTGCACTAAAAGAAATACTAAAAAGAATTCTTCACGGGGGAGGAAAATTATCTCAGGTAGAATCCCAGAAATGTAGGAAAGAATAAGAAGCAAAAGAAAGACAGCTATGTGGGTCAATATATATGGATATTGATGGAACATGGTAGTAATAGTAGTGTCTTGTTAGGTGTAAAATATATGTGGAATTAAAATGAATCCTATCAATACCATTAAAAAATGGGGGTAAGTAGAGACTGAGCGTTCTAAGATCAGAACATTGTCTGGGAAGTGACAAAAAGTAAAATTTGTATTAGACTAGAATATATAATAGATATCTATATATATATCTTTTATATATATACATATATTTTATATACATATATATTCCCATATATATATATGGGAACCACTAAGGGAGTAACAGACTGTGTAAGTAGCGACATACAGATGGGAAGAGGCAGATTAAAAAATGAATTAATCCAGGGGTGCCTGGGTGGCTCGGTGGGTTAAGTGTCTGACTCTTGATTTTGGCCCAGGTCATGATCTCATGGTTCGTGAGCTTGAGCCCCACATTGGGTTCTGTGCTGACAATGAGGAGGAGCCTGCTTTGGATTCTCTCTCTCTCCCTCTCTCTCTGCCCCTGCCCCTAATCAAAATAAGTAAATAGACCTTAAAATTTAAAACAATACAGTTACAAAATGAATTAATACAAAAGAAGGCAACAAAGGAGAGAAAAAGACACAAAACAGGACAAATGGGAATAAATAGCAGTAATTACATTAAATGTAAATGAATTAAATACACAGAAGACAGAGGTTGACAGATTTGATTTAAAAAAAAAAAACCCTATATATAAGAAATAACATAATTATAAGAACATAAGATAGTTGAAATATATAGAAAAAAATGGAAAAATTATACCATTATGAGTGGTAGAGACAGCTATTTCACCACAACAAATGGCTTAATCCACCAGAAAAAATCAATTGAAAATAAGTATGAGCCTAATAACACAGCCTCAAAATATATAAAACAAAAATTGACAAAATTAAAAGAAGAAATAAACAAATCCACAATCACAATGGGAGACTTTAACATCTCTCAACAATGAATAGAAAATTAGAAAAATAGAAAATAGAAAAGCCTGCCTCAAAGCCTCTGACCCTCCTCTGCTCACGCTGTTTCTCTCTCTCAGAAATAAATAAAACAGTTTTTAAAAAGGAGAAAAATACAATTATCCGAAAAGATGTAGAAAAAGTATTTGATAAAACTTAACACTGTGATAAAAAACTTAAAAACTTTTTTTAAGTATTTATTTTGGGAGAGAGAGGACATGGGAGGAGCAGAGAGGGAGAGAGAGAATCCCAAGCAGGCTCCAAGCTCAGTGCACAGAGCCTGACAAGGGGTCCAGTCCCATGAACCAGGAGATCATGACCTGAGCCGAGATCAAAAGTTGGATGCTTAACTGACTGAGCCACCCAGGTGCCCCATGAAAAAACTTTTTAACAAATTAAGAACACATAATCATGAGTATATTAAAGGTCCTATAGCAAACATTCCACATACTAGTGGGTATTGAACGCTTCCCCCCTAAGAGTGAGAAGGCTACAGGTATGCTCACCCTACCGGCAGCCAGCACTCTCTGGAGGCCCCAGCCAGTGCAGTCTGGGTTTCCATCTTGTACCCGGCAACCTTGCTGAGCTCACTTATTAGCTCTATCAGTTTTTGAGGATTCCTTAGGATTTCCTATAGCCAAAACCATGTCATCTGCAAATATCGTTTTCCTTCTTCCTTTACCATCTGGATGACTTTTATTTCTTTTTCTTGCTCAGTTGCCCAGCCACTGCAGTTTGACAAGAGATGAAGAAGCCATAATGATTGTAAAGGAAGAAATACTACGGTCATTTGTGGAGGTCATGACTATATGCAAAGAAAATACAATCAATCTATCAAGTATTATAATTTAAGTGACTGTAGTAAGGGCACTCACTAGAAACAATTCACATACAAAAGTCAACAGAATCTCTACATACTAGCAAACATAAATATAAAATACATAAGAGTCTAGTGAAAGATGTGCAAAAATACTTTCCTTTAAACCACAAAAACGGTTTTAAGAAAACTTGCAAAAGACCAAAAGAAACAGAGGGATACACCATGTTAATGGACTAAAGAGTCAATATTGTAGGGATATAAAATGGCCCCAAGCCGGTCTGTAGACTCCATGCAAATCAAACTCTAGCGCTTCTTTGGTGTAGAAACTGACCAGCTGAGTCTAAAACGCTTTGCAGAAATGCAAAGGGCTTCGTTCTGCAGGGATCACCTGGAGTACAGGACTGAGACAACTTGGGCCAGATCCCGCCCGTCCGTTGTGTGTTTTTTGTGTATTTTTTGCCAAGACCATGTCTGTAGACATTCCAGCCCGATACAGCACCCCTTTCTCCTCCTCCTCAGAACAGAGAGCCTGCCGGTCCCTTGCCATTAAGAGTTTTCAGCCATGAGTCAGACACATCAGTTCACTTTTTGCTGTAAAGGGGATACTTAACTTTTCCAAGCGGCCCTGGAAAGGCCACTGATAGGCATGAACGTCACCTTGAAATGTGGGGGTGGCTGGCACCTCTTGTCTCAGGATCCCAAGTGAAATGGAAACAGTCCCAGTTGAGTAGCCTGCTGTCCAAACATATAGAGAAGCCCTATCACATGTGTGCTATGATGTTATTAGAAACTACAGGAGTCTGTTTCAGATTCTGCATCTCCCTCTCTCTCTGCCCCTCCCCTGCTCACACTGTCTCTCTCTTTCAGAAAGAAAGAAAACATTTAAAAATAGATTCAAAAATAAAATAAAACATTACAAAAGCTAAAAATAAATTGCTGGAGCGTGGGCTTTGTTGGAATGCATGTATACAGTAACTGAGAAAGCAAACAAGATAATTCCGTCTGTTTGGACCACTGCCAGGTAAAGTGTGTCTTTGTGCGCTGACATCGGAAGTGAAGTTAAAGAGGCACAAAAGGAGAATAATGATCCTACTTTCTTTTGCTGAAGTTGCTTCACCGCATAAGAAAAGAGACAACACTGGTTTAAAGGTTGTTCTAGTTACTCAATAATACTCAATGTGTTGACCTCACAAGTTCAACAGCATTTGGGTGAAAATACAGGCTGCCTGTTAAGCAACAGCGTCAGGTGCAGTGACCGCTCATTACCTCGAGTACAACTTCATGGGGATTTGATGACTGTGATTTGTGGGAACTTCCATCTTCATGTCACATGGACACCTGCCACAACACAGTCCCCGTAATGAAATCGCTAGGTTTACAGGTAAAGCTCTCAGCCCTGCGGGCTACGCTTCTGCCACATGCTTTCACCATTTCCTGCCTAAAGCAAGAGCCCCAAGGAGCTGAATGCTGCCATCCAGGGAGACCACAGAAACCAGCAAAACACCCATAAGACCAGGGGCATGAGGCTTGGACCATGGGCAAGATGTGGCATGGTGTGGGCCACGGTCTGACACAGCCCTGGGAGGGACCTAACACACAGGTGAGGGCCTACTCCCCGGCACAGGGAGTAGATGCCGAGAACCCGTCCACCACTTGGTACCTGGGTGGGCTGCTCCCAGTGTTATTTCCCAGGTCTTAAAGCCAGCGAGTCTTGGTCCCTGAGAGCTTCCTCTCCCGCGCTGTGGGCACGCGGCGCTGCCCAGGCATCCTGGGGCTGTTCCACACCAATGTGCCCAGCCCAACTCTCAGCCTGTGCTATTTATTGTGGGTGAACTGAAATCAGTGCTTTGGGCACCCCTTGCATCCCATTATTTTCCCAATGCAGTTTGTGCTCTCTGCTGGGCAGAAGGTAGAGAAATCAAAGCTAATACAGCTGATACATCAACAGGCCATCAGCTTTCCACGATGCATGGAGCCCACGTTTCCAGTGAGCGCACAGAACTCTGCTGTCGCTGAATAGAGTATTGCTCCCGAATGCCTGAGATTCCAGTCCAAATCGGGACTGTGATGCCTAGGGGCTGGGATTTGGAGCCCAGGCAGCCCCATGGGTAGAGGAGGATGGCGGGTGCCGGGAGGGTCCCCAAGGCTGGTGGGCAGCAGCCTGCCATGCTGCCGAGCTGGCTGGGGCTCTCCTGTCCCTTTTCTCCTGCACATCGGCACTCACAGTCCCCCGGCTCTGGCTGGCCCCGCAGCCCAGCGAGATGCTGGCTGGAGTGTCCAGGCCCGTGGCTGCCACGGGGGAGTGCGGGCTCCTGACGAGGACCTGAGGTTGCGAGGCGAGTCAGGGCTCAGTGGTGCGACAGAGTGCTTGCCAGCGCTTCACCAGCTCCTTGGGCTTGCTGAGCATCTCGTTCCAGTGCTCCAGCTGCTTGCCCCGGGCATACATGTAGGGGCCCACCACCACCCGGCCCAGCGCGTGGCTCTCTGTGGGGGAGGGAAAACGTCGTTACTCTCTGGACCCCTGAAGCCACATCACTTCAGCACCCAATGCCTTCTCTTTCCTTCTCACGTACTCCTCCTTTCGAGGAAGCAGGCCCCCTCGCTCCCCAAGCATGAGCTGATGGCCCCCAACCCTGCCTTTGCTCTGGAGTTGGAGAGAGTGGGAGAAAGGAGCCCAGGGGGACAGCCAGCCCTTAGGGGTCACCTACTCTGCCTCTCACCCTCCTACTGAGACATCTTAAGCCAGCCTCATGCCAAAGAGCTGGAGGTTCTCCAGAAAAAAGCCCTCTTCCCTCAGCCCACTTATATGTTCAGAGGGAACATTCAACAGTTTTCTCCCACCAAGTGCCACGGTTCTTAAGCTCTGGTCCATAAGGCCAGCTGGCTGACAGCTCTGCTTCCCCAGATGCTGAGAGTGGACACTGGGGTGTGGGGCGGTGTGAGACAACCACACCTACCATCCAGCCTGAACCCCACCCAGGACTCTAAAGGTTTGTCTAGAGGGTATGAGGCAACATAGGGCACACAGCAACCACAACATCAGGTCACTTGGCTGGTGGTTTGCCCCAGGAGCGGAGGCTCCCCTTTTCACCTCTCCATAGGGTGCCCCAGAGACTCAAACTGGAATAAAGCTGGGCACGAATCCCAGCTCCCCTGCTAGCAAGCTCTATGTCCTGGGCAAGTATCTCAGCCTCTCTGAGTGCTATTTCCTTAGGCAGAGAACAGAAACCTCTCTCTGACGGTCCACACTGCCTGACGCTCCTCCTTTGCCCTTGTCCCCAACAGCCTGGGGTGGAGGGTGGGGGGGAAAGCCTTACTCTCCCCTTCAGCGCCCTGCAGCACTGTCAGGCTGAGGCTGGCAGTGTCCAGCTCAGCGGGGTCGGCCTTGAAGCTGAAAGTCTCGCTGTACACAGGGTTGGCGGAGCCCAGGACAGCCGAAGTCTTCTTGCATTTGACAAACTTGTTGTGGTTCATCAGAGAGACTTTGACAAACATACCTGCGGGGAAGGGCAGACCGTGGACTGGGAGGGGCGGGCAGATCCAGCCTCTGGCCTGTGGGAGGTCAGGCTGGGGGGCACTGGCCCACCCTGGGCATTGGGACCCCCCCCTCCGTTCCTCATAGCCGCTGGAGCCAGAGGGCGTTACGGGAGGAAACAGGGTTGTGTGTGTGTGTGGCCTTACGCCGAGGAAATGCTTGGCTCCTTTCCTCTTCCTTCCTCTGTGCCTCCTGAATGCGCCACGGCTCCGCTGGCCCTTGTTTACCAGGGCCTGGCACCGCACGCCCTACCCTCCCTTTGGTGGAGGGGGGCCCTCCCTACCTGCTGACTGCTCGGGCTCCCTGGGGCCCCTTAAACACCTTCTGCTTCAGAGGGCTGAATTTTTGAAGTGGGGCTCACATGGGTTTGGATCCACAGGGGAAGGTTGAATGACAACTTGCTTATGGTGACCCTGATGTGGAGATGCGCAGATGGCAGACAGTCACCACCTTCCTGGGGGGGTGGGGGGGCCTCATAAAGGCGGGACATTTTGCTGAGCCAGAGCAGGGCCTCCGCTCCTCCAGCTGCTGGGTTCTGGGGGGTGGGGGGCGGGTTAGAGGAAGCAGTGCCCCACGCTTGGGATGCCTCTTCTTCCAGCCAAGCGCCATGCCTTGTGTGCAGGGGAGCCCTCGCTGGGGGCAAGGGGGCGCGGGGTCTGGCCCTGGAGGAACTGGAGTCCTTCACAGAAGGGCAGAGGTAGACATGGGATCAGTCTAAGGTGGGTTAAATCTAAGGAAGCGGCTTCCCACAGCACAGCTGTCCACAAGGGGTAGTGAGCACTCCGCTCATTCACAGGCAGGAATTGCATGGCCAGAGGCAAGGGTCAGACTCCAGTCTCTGCCCCAGGCTCACGGGACAGGACCTTCCCCGGAGGAGGAAAACTTACTGACAAAGCTCGTGTCCTCCTGGAGCTGGAGGCCCTTGGCTCGCAGCACAACCACGGTCAGGCGGTGCAGGCAGTCGTTGTAGCTGAGGCAGAACTGCAGGTCTCCGAACTCGGAGGGAGGCTGGGAGGCGGAGAGGAAGGCCCCCCGGTCAGTCAGCAAGCTCCCAAGGAGCCACGGCACCTTCCCCGCAGTGCCTTCCTCCTGGGTCCCAACGGTACTGTGTGACACACCCAGATTTTCTCCTTTAAGCCCACCCTCATTTCATGGATGGGGAAACTGACGTCTGGCCAGTTGAAGGCGCCCCACACTCGGGATGCTGAAGATCACATGGTAGTGAGGGGGCAGAGCTGAGGACACAGACCCAGGTCTAGATGATTCCAAAGCCTGTTCCAAGTTTCCACGGTCCTCTTGGGAGTCAGGAGAATAGAGAGTATTTCCCTAGGTTGGTGCATTTGGGGTGTCACCTTTCACAGCTGTCTGGTCTGGATGGGAATTTAAGTGTGGATTTTTACAAGTTGCTCCAGGATCTGATCTCAAGGGCAAAAGAACTTCAGGCGGCCCTTCTGGAGTGGCCCCACTCAGCCCCCTTGTCCCATGCACTGTGGCCCACGCCCAGGACCCTGAGTCACACTTGTAGGGGCAGTGGGCAGTACGCTGAGGGCTGATGCTGGCCAACAGGTGCTGGGCCACACCACTGCCCACAGTAGTCTGACACACAGTGCTATATGCCTGGTGACCTTGACCTTTACCTCCAGGCTCTCAGCCTCCAGGTCTCTCCAGATGAGACGCCGGCAGTCACCTGCGAGGGTCTCATTTTTCAGGGGAAAGAACACCTGGCCCAGGAGCTGGTGCTTCCTCTGTCTGTCCACGTGGTACACGGAGAACCTGAGTACCCTCTGAGTGACGCTCTTGCTGGACACCTGGGGGAGATGAGGGTGTGTGCTGGGGCCAGGTGTGGAGATGGGATGGGATGGCATGCTATTCTGGACACAGGAGCTTTTGGTGAGAGGTGACTCAACCAGGGACCTGCACACCCCCAACCCAGGCATCCTCAGGGGACCCTTTCCAGCAGTGAGGCTGGTACCCCTGGGAAAGTGGGAGCATGTGCCAGAGCTGTGCCTTGCAGAGGGTGGTTCAAGGACTGGCAGTGTTCAGCACTCACCTGGACTTTGCTAGAAATATAGGACCTGGGCCCCACTTCAGGCCCATGAAGGAAATCTATCATTTAACAGGACCTCCAAGTGATTTGCCTGCACATAAATGTTTACGACTTCTCACACTGGAGCCCAGGGGACCTGTTCGTTGCTGCCATCTGAGTTGGGCACCCCAGCACTCCTCTCTCTGAGGCTCAGTGTCCTCATCTGTCATGGGGATGGTGATTCTTACTTGTAAAACCCCAATTATGGGGTCTGACCTTTGGCAGATGGTCAATTAGTATTGATTTGCTTCTCTTCCTCTTCTCCTGCCCCTCCCCCTTAAAGCACAGAGAGGCAGGATCAAGTTGGGACAGGTCAGAGGAGTGATCAGTAAACAGGGCAGGGGAGTGTGAGTGTGCCGTGTGGCCATGCTGGTCAGCAAGGCTACATGCCTTGGATCTTCATGTCCCAAGAAGGGCAGGGTCACCTGTAAATTCCCACAGCCTTGGCCCCCAGCAGGAGGTCTGGAGCTGGGCCCCATGCCACCCCTCCTCTCAGCTACAGCTCTGGGCCCCAGAAGAAGGCAAGACTTGGGACTCTGGCTCAGTAATCGCTCTCTTCCGGGTGCTGACCGGCCTGTCCTTACCTTGCCAGCCAGTCTGCTGCCCAGCTCTTGAAAATGTTTGCCCAAGGCCTCGAGGCAGCTCTTGATGGCTGGTTTCCCATCAGGGGCCCCAGTCACCTGCTCAGGCTCTCAGGTCCCTGGGAGCTTGGCTCAGTGCCCTGACAGCCTTCACACCTCCAGACCCTGAGCCAGCCGGCCCACAGGCCAGCAAATGCACCACCTGCGCCAGCCTCCTATGGGAAAGGTGTGTTTCTGCCCCCGCTCTAAGGGGGGCTTACCGTCTGCCTCCCTTCGATAACCTTGCCAGAAATCCTACAGGGCCTCAAAGCCTTGGAGCACTTCTCCAGGGCCCCGTGGGCCAGAGCCTGGCATTCAGTAGGTGCTCCAAGAATGTGTTTTCTCGTTCTCTGCTCCAGGCAGCCTGGACAGAAGGATCCCAACCTGCTCCCCCTGCCCCTTCCTCATCTCTGCCCTACCCCCACCATCGGGGGCAGGACCTGGCGCGGGGGTGGGGGGGACAGGGGAAGCAGAGCTGGTGGCATCAGGGGTCTCGGGGGGGAGGGTGCTGCAGGGCCCCGGCTAGCAGAGGAGGCTGGTGCTCACCTGCACCATGTCTGGCCCTTCCCAGGAGGCCAGGCCCTGTGTGCCCCAGAGGCCTCACCTGGAAGACAAAGTGCTCATCAAACTGCGGGTTGGGGGTTTTGCGCTTGGCCTTGGACTGGAGGAAGCGGCGCTCATCGGGCAGCAGGTGGAGCTTCACCAGGGGGCTGCAGGTCTCCGAGGGGCCTTGCAGCCTCCGCGCCTTGATCAAGCCCACCAGCAGCCGCTCGGCCTCCTGCTGGTATTCCACAGAGAACCACAGACGGCCCAGGCAACCCTCGGGGAAGTCTGTCTCACTCGTGTCCTCTAGGGTCTTGTATAGCTCTGGGTTGACGGTCCCCACCGTGCCTGTATTTCCAACAACACAGGGGAGGGGTGGTCTGCCAGGCCCAAAGAAGGCAGGGCCATGGAGGACAGCGAGCTCTGGGCTTCACCTCCCCTACCCCTTGCTCGTCTCTTCTTGGCTGAGCCTCCTATGGGCAGTTCACTGGCCTCTCCACATCCACCCCTGCCCCTCTCCAGACTGAACACAGCCTCTCTCTCTAGTGCAGCCCCTCCAGGCAGCCTGCCAGCTCTAAGGCACGGTGTGCCCAGCCTGCTTCTCTCTGGGGCTCCTGGCAGAGTGAACAGTATTCATTTAACCCCCGCCCCTTCGGTCAGGGCCTGCTTGTTGGGCAGGGGGTTCACAGTGGCCAGCACCTGACCCAGCCCCTGTCCATGGTGTCCAGAGGCAAAAACTTTGCCTCTTTTATTCCAATTCCAATGAGTAGGGCCTAGCTGATAACTGGGTGCTTCCTGGGAAGGTATCTTGGAAGGTCTTCGGAGTAAAGGGGTGGGCGGAAAGCTGAGTGTCCAGCTCTTACCATTCCGCCCTCTGGATCAGCCAGCCGATCAGTCTAGAAAAGAACCCATCAGATGTTCTGCACCTGCACACCAGGGTTCTAATCCCAGATCTGTTGCCTACACACAGCCTCTGTGACCTTGGGCCCAAGTGACCTTGGGCAAGGCACTGTCAGCCTTCTGAACCTCTGTTTATGAATGTGCAAGATGGGGTGAGGATCACTCTCCCCACAGCGGCATGGTGATGTCTAACTCCACGATGGCACATGAGGCCGTATCTGGTACAGGCTGGGGTGCAAAGGGCATTCTGTAAACCCACGTACCTGGAAAGAGTGGTCACTGGGCAACTCTTCCCAAGGGAAACCAGAAGATTTTGCCCAGAGCACTAGGATCCCAAGGGAAATGACTTTACTGCTGAGACTCAGCAGAGCCCAGCCAGAGGAGCCCCTGCTTCTGTTTCGCTCCTGGGGTCCAACCCAGGGGGTGGGGCTGCTGCCCAGATTCTGGCCCCCAGGAGGCCAGTGGTGTGGGCTTTCCCCAGCATCACAATCCTGGTGGTCTCTGTCCCTAGAACAAGTGGACTTGGTAACTGGGGGCATCACCGGAGGCCTGCTGCTCCAGGCTGTTTTCCAGGGTCAAGTGCATGAAAGCAAATGGTCCTCCCTGGCCGGAGCAGGCACCCCAACCCGCACCCAGGCAGGCTCTGGCAGGAGCACTCACCAAGGATGCTGCTGGAGGTGTGCGGCAGGGGCTCCGGGGCTGGGCAGGGGTCCCGTGGGATCTGAGCCCGCTCTCCACTGTGCAGGGGTACCCAGTCTCGGTCTTGGAGGGAAGGGGGCACCACGAATGGCACACCTGGTGGCCTGTCCCAAGGCGGGGAGATGACATGTTGGTGGCAGGCGAAAGGTGTGGCCTCCCACTGCCCCTAGGGGTTGAGTGCCAGAGGCTGGAGGAGGCAAGAGCACCATTTTCTGGGCCCCTGTCAGCCCCCCGCCTGCCTCCACCCCCACCCGAAGCCAATACCTCTGCCTGTCCCCGTGGGGCCAGCACGGCCTCTGGACTGGCTCTGCCTCGATTCGAATACCTGTTCTGCCACTGACTAGTTGTGTTCCCTGGACCTGCCACTTAGGTCCTCTGAGCCTATTTCCTTATCTGGAAAATGAGCTTCCTAACGCCTGTCTCATGGCTTGTGGTGACAATTCTGGGCTTTCTTTGTGATCGCTCCCAGTAGGGTGACCGAGGACAGGAGGCGCTCCATAAACAGACCTTGGCTTTCCCGCCCTCCTCCAAAGAAAACCCCACAGGAAGGGCCCTAAGCGAGGCTGGGGGCTTGCTTGGCCCTACGCCCTGCCTCACCTGCTTGTCTGGGCCCCGGCGTGTGGCGGGCAGAGCTTGTCCCCTTGTGTGCCGGATGCAGCTGTGGTCCCCAGCAGCTCCTCGTAGGCGATCGTGGCACGAAGCCTCTTCCAGAGACAGCAGCTTACCCAGATCAGTAGCAGCAGCAGCAGCAGCCCCCCAGCGAGGCCCCCAATTAGCAGGGCCACCTGCTCTGGGGGCAGAGACCACCAGGATGGTGATGCCTGGGGGAAGCCACCCTCCATCACACCACTGGCTTGTTGGGGGCAGGATTTGGGCAGCAACCACATCCCCTGAGCTGGACCCCAGGAGTGACACAGAAGCAGGCTTCCTGTTCCCTTGGGAAGCAGCTGGCCCTGGACTTGGGATTCTGGCTGAAATGAACCATTTTCTTGTGCTTCTGAGGAGACATTAAATCTGCTCTTACCAGAACCTTCATCTTCCCTGCGCTCCTGTTCAGGCTTGAGGGTAAACCCGAGTTTGGGCATCATGTACTTAAGGAAAGCCCAGGAAGGGGTGACGTGCTGGTTGGCACTCCCAGCCCTACCCTTTGGGGTCCTACAACCTGCCGAGAGGTCAGACTCACGCTTGAATTCGGAGACTGCCTCTACAACCCAATCCCCTGTTCAACTCTCTGTCCAGAGGAACCCTCTTCGGGGAGCCTGCTGGAGACAACGGGAGTGTGCATGAGGGAAAGAAAGTGGGTGTGAGAAACGGAGACACAAGTACCCTTTGCTGCCTGCACCCCTACATTTGTGGGGACCTGGCAGGATCCACTCCCTTTCAGCGGCCGCTCAGAGCGCTGGGACGCTGGTTCCCAGGTCCCCGCCGCCTTCCTCGAACAAAGAAGGTGCCTCCTTCGGGTCAGCGCGGACACGGGGCTTCCGGGGCTCTGGGGTCTGGACCGAGGGGAATGTTGAGGAGAGACCCCCCTTCCCTCCCCCCCCCGCCGCCCACTCCTGCACTTCCTGCCCCGCAATGGTCCTCGGGGAGCGGGTCAGCCTCTCCACTTCACCTCTCCCCAGCTAGGAGCCACAGGTGGGGCGCGGGCTGCGTCCTAGAGGGGCAGGCGTGGTGCAGGGAAAGGGCTGCCAGGTGGCCGAGGGGCTCCGACGCCGCGCTGGGAGCGCGGATGGGGAGGGGGCACTTACCCGCCATGGCGCTGCTCGGGCCGGCTGCCGGGGCTGGGGCTCACGGGGCTGCGCGCCTCCAGCCGCCGCGGGGCAGGCTTTTAAAGCGCGGTGGGGGCGGTCGGGGGCGCGGGGGAGGTCCCTCGTCGCTCCGGGGTCCTGGCGGCAGTCGGCGGGGGCAGGGAGCCCGCCTCCGGAGGCAGCAGCTCCGCCCCGGCCAGGCCCGGGTCGCCACCGAAGGGGGAAACGCCGGTGAGCGCCCGGAAAGTGCAGGACTCGGGGCTGGGCGGCTCGAGCGGATGGGGTGCGAGGGCGCCCCGCTCTGGGATGGCAGGGCCAAAGCCTTCGCCGCCGCGTCTGAGGGAGGGCCCGGCCGCCTGGACAAGCGACAAGCTGGTCTAGGAGTGCGCCTCCACCTTCCGCGGATCCTCGGCAGGCTGTGGCCGCGCCCCCTCTTCCCCCGCGCCTGCTCCCACCCCTGCTTCAGGGGTCTGCCCGGCTCCCAGGGAGGACTCTCCGCTCGCGGTCCCGGGTCCCTCGCACCGCCTGCCTGACCTTGGGGGCAAGGGGTGCGGCGCTGGAATTCACAGGTCTGCTGTCGCAGCACGCAAAGTAACAAACGAGGCGTCGGAGATCCCGAGTTCTGCAACCGACCACCTGGGTTCCTACTCTGGCTCCCCACTCGCCAGCTGTGCCAGTTGGTACAGTTTCCTTCAGCGCTCTGGGCTCCCTGTCCTCAGTTGGGTTAGTAACAGTAGGTCCTCTAGGGTTAAAGTATGTAATAGACTCGGCTTAGAACGCAGGTGACTTAGCTCTATGGTGGAGTTGGGGGGGTGCACAGAGAGTGCCAGACACTACTATGGTGATTATCTGACTCAGGATGGCGTCGCCTAGGTCCCCTCGACACCCGCAGCCCCAATTCCTGGACTGATTATCAGACCGCGGGGACAGTGCCGGTCGGGACTAGTAAAGGCAGCCGTAGGCTTGACAGGAAGCTGGTGTAAGGGCCCTCCGGTCCTCTGCCAGCTTCCACGCAGCGTGCACCCCATCAGGGGACGTGCACCCTATGGGTGCCCCACGCAGCGTCCCTGTGGGGTGCTCTGATGGGAGCATCTGAGACCTTGAGGGGGCATCTGGAGATGGGGACCTAAAGGAATAAGTGTGTGTGTTGGGGGGGGGTGGCGTGTCGGTCTTGTTTTACAAAGCCTTGAAGGTTTTGACCAAAGACGAGTCTGGGCTCCCCACTCCAGCCTGGCACCTCTGCCTATCCCGGTAGGGGGTAGGGAGGAAGCTGAGTAGACAAGAGGAAAGCCCACCAGGCTGTCAGTGTGCGGCTCCGCCCTGCCCCAGCACTGCTTAACCCCAGGTGGGATGGTGGGGTGAACGGGTGTCCCCCTCACCTTGCAGGGGCAGGAGGAAGGGTGGCTCTTTTCTTTCCCGGGTCTGGTGAGAAGGTGAGTCCCGGCATCTCCATCCAGTAGGGCATCTCTCTCCACTGCACCCTGGGAGCCTGCAGGGAGCCTGCTGGGCACCTGGTGGAGGCAGGGCATTTCCTCCACCAGCCTTCCCTCCTGCAAAACATATTGGCGGGAGTGTCTGGAGACCTGGGGTTCTGACCTTTGCTTCTGCTGGGCTGATGATATCTCAGCAAGTGGAGTCTGGGTCTGCCTCAAAACGTCATCTTTGCCCTCATGTCTCAGTTGAATGTCTGTTAGTTTCCTGTTGCTGCTGTAATGATTGATCCCAAATGTCGTGGTTAAAAGCACAAATGTAGTCTCTTACAGTCTGAAGTCAGAAGACTGAAATGGGTCTGCAGGGTCGCATTCCTTCTGGAGGCTGGGGGGAAATCCACTTGGCATCGTTCCCAAGTGTCTAGAAGCTGCTATATGTGGCTGCTCCCATTATCTTCAAAGCTAGCAGCAGCAGCATTTTCTAACCTCTCTGAATTCTCGTCATGCTCACATCAACTTTCTTGGCCCCCCTTATAAGGACCTTTGTGATTTTGTGGGGCCCACCCAGATAATCCAGGATAATCGCCCCATCTCAAGATCTTTACCTTAATCACCTATGCGAAGTCCTTTTTGCCATGCAAGGTAACCTATTCCCAGGTTCCAAGAATGAGAATGTGGACATCGTTGGAGCTACAATGTCCACGGAGCCCTCTGGGAAGGGATGGTTTACATTCTCTCTCCTCCTGCTGCTTAAAGTTTTCAGTGGGCCCCAAGGCTGGGACCAGGCAGCTAGGAAGGCCCATGTACCCCTTGCATGGTAACTTTCCAGCTGCATGAGCCTCCCCCTAGCTGCCCCACCTGGCTTGACTGCCCCTGACAGGGCATGGCACCCAGCCACATCCAGCCACTTCCGTGGTTGGCCCTGAGCTTGTGTGAGTGTGTGCTCCTAGAAAAGCAAATGCATTGTGGCCAGTCTGGAAGTGTCAGGTCCAGAGCTGCCCGTCTTCCCCCGAGTCCCAGGCTATGCCTTTCCAAGGCCTCCTGGCTTCCTTCCTTTCTGTCTCCCTTCCTCACCAGCTACCTCCAAGCCTTGGCTCGCTCCTGCCAGCTCTTCTTCCTCTGTCCGTCTCCATCAACACCAGAACCTTCTCCCAGGGCTCCGCCATCTCTAACCTGGAGCACCACATCCACTTCTGCTCTGCTCTTCAGACTCATCCTGAAACCGTCTCCCCAGCTTATGTCTTCCAGGTTCCCCTCCCCAGTCTCACCCACCCGGATGCCTCCCCACTGCCATCCTTCTGCAGTGCTCAGAGCCTGTGACGATTACCCCACCGCTCTGTCCCCAGCACACCAGGGCCTCATGAAGGCAGAGAACCAAGCCTGATTCAGCTCAGCGTCCCAATATCTCCCTCCGGGGCCAGGGCTGTCCTGAATGGTGGATGAAAGGCTTGCACCCTCAGGATGAACTGCCTTCTGGCTTCTGCCAATGTTACCTGTGCATTGCGCACACCCTGGGCCCACACTTCGGGGCCCCCCAAGAGCTCTTGCCCTTGACCTGGAGACCAGCTGCTGGGGCCTGCACTCATGTTGCTAGCACGGCCTGCAAGCACCTAATGCATGCACCCAGCCCACCGAGTTCTGAGTTTTTGTTCCTCCACAGGAAGATGAGAGCAGGTGTCAGGGGGAAAGCTCAACTTTTTGCCGCTACTTATGTTTTGGGCGTCATAATGCAGGCTCAGTGCACATGACCTGTTGAGCCTCCCATTGTGTCGGTCCCGCAGAATCGGGGCCACTCCTTCCAATGAGGAAACCACATGAAGACGTTCCATGGACCTCTCAGGAAGTGGTAGAGCGAGACCCAGCTCCTGGACCCCTCATTCCTTCCCCGCCGCTGGCCAGCTGAGGGGCCCAAGCAAGGCCCCAGGAGACTAGTTCCTGTGGAGATGACTGTGAACTACTAAAAGCCACAGGCACTGTGGCCAGGATCCCCTCGGTCCCACTGGGGTTCTGAGCCCGGCTGGCCTGGAGCCTGCTCACATAACAATGGTCTCCAGGTCTAGCTGCAGCCCTGGCCCTGCTTCCTGTTTTCAGACCTTGCTCCTCCCTGGGTCTCTGGGAGCTGGGAAATCTGGAAACAGTGGCAGACAGGGTTTCTCTCTGCCGTGGCCAAAGGGAAGTCACATTTCAATTGGCAAAAGCATTCCCAAGGAGGGTGGCAGGAAGTCCAAGTGTTTGAAGGCCTGCAAATGCCTGCAGGTGATTAATAATTCAGTGCAAGGGATGATTCAAGAGAAAGGCCACTTTCAATTAACCTTAAGAATCAGCCCGTCTGAGGAAGTGTCATTTCTTGTCACCTAGGAACAGAGAGACCAGAGGAGGATAAAGGCCACGCTGAGAAGCGTGTGGAAGACTGTGTTTCTCACAGTTACGTAAATTCCACACCGGTCGGCCCAGGTCCCTCTCTGTGAGGTGTGGAAGGGCTCTCCCTGCACCAGCATCATAACTTTTCTCTGGTTCCACTACGTTGGCCATACTTTCCTATTTTTGAGGAGCTTGGAGGAAGTATCTTTTCATACCTAGTCAGAAGCTCCCGCCTTGTCCCCTGCGCCGCCATGCTGGCTTCAAATATGTCCCCATCCTGTGGATGTATTCAGAGTCCCAGGATGGGGCCCAGAGCCCGTGGCTCTCTCCTGCTTCCCGGAAGTCTTCTCTGCTGCCCTGCTGGGTTCTCCCTCCTTCCTGCCCCTGCTTGGCAGCCTTTCTCTCTACCGGCAACAATAGCCTGACATTTCTTTCTCGAGAACTACCGTCCCCCGTCTTTGCTCACACAGTAGCTGAGGGAGGACCATCTCTTCCCTTTGCCCGCATCACCAGCTCACCCTTGTTCTGGGGCCTTGCATATGACCCAGGCCAGGCCCCACAGAGTGCTTCATTCCCCGGTCCCAGTACAGGTTCCTCTCTGGAATTTTCATGGAATCAGTGTTTGTGGACACTCCCTTTTTTGCAGGCCCCGTGGAGCTGAGGGAGCTAAGTCCAGGGTGGTTGGGAGCACTTGTGTGGAGGAGGGCGTGTGAGACAAAAGCCAGCACAGGAGCACAGAGTAAGGTGGCGGGTTTCATGATGCCATCTGACTCCCGGTCCTGGAGTGCTGGCATCCATCTTGCCCCAGATGTTTCAATAGATTAAATTAAAAAAAATTTTTTTTCGGGGCGCCTGGGTGGCTTAGTCGGTTAAGCGTCCGACTTTCGCTCAGGTCATGATCTCGCGGTTCGTGGGTTCGAGCCCCGCGTCGGGCTCTGTTCTGACTGCCGGCTCAGAGCCTGGAGCCTGTTTCAGTCTGTGACTCCCTCTCTCTCTGACCCTCCCCTGCTCACGCTGTCTCTCTCCTAGAAATAAATAAAACATTAAAAAAAAAAAAATTTTTTTTTTCTTAAGCCAGTATGAGGTGATTCCTGTCACTCGCAATTAAGAGTCTTAATTAATCGTTAACTGAGGCAGGCCATGAATGGGTGGGCAAGGTCTGTGAGGCTCATTCCCATGTCACTCAGGTGGAAAGTCAGAGACTCGGAGGTGATAAGTTGCCTGAGGCCACCGACCTAGGAAGTGAC